ATAATTGATATTGTAAATGAAATATAGTAGCTAGCATAAAACTAACGTAATTTAACTTTCCGATTTCAGTTTATACCTTTCTCCGCAAATAGTTCGTTGAACAAAATTTTATGCTTCGACAAACTATTCAGTGGTAAAATATATATTATAATATATTTTCATGTGATTTATTTACTTACCGGTTACTTTCCACTTATTGGTCTTATGAAAAATTCCAAAATGATCAAAATATCGTACGATTCTGATAGCATATCCATTTAAAAACGTTATTGCAATTTTTTTTCTTCAAACACTTTACAACATCTTTTATTTTGAATAATACAGCATTTTCACTAATCCAAATTATTTGATCGTGCAGATTAAAGAAAAAAATGTTAACTCATTTGAATATTTGACATGATTTAAATTTTCAATTCGATAAAATTTCAATTTTAACTTTTCTGTATATATTCGGTATATTACGATAGTAATGATTATTGGACACCGTTATGCGAAATTTTCGCAAACAAAGTTATTATTATTAATTGTTCAGTTATTTAGCTTATGTTCATTCTCAATGAAATTTTACTTTAAATAAACAATTAAGCATGCATTTTTCATTTCAAAATTTTGATCTTTTTTAATTCTTCAATAAAACTGAATTTGATTGAGAATGAATATCAGCTAAAAAATTAATGATTCATAAGAAAATCATAAGAAAAAGTTTGAGCTGAAATTTTGTGAGGAAAAATACTTTATCTTCAATTAACTTTTTATGGCTAATTTTTTAAATTAATTCATATATAATAATTCTTAACGCTTCTTTTTATTTACTCCTTTCATTCTTTATTTTTGCTTTATTTTGAACAAAAATAAATATTTGAATTCATTTTAAGTTCTAATTTTTGTAATTTCTATAAAGTAATAATTTTGTACATATGAATTTTTTTGCTGTTTATAATGAAATCTTTTCTAAATTAGCATAAAATCTTCAAGCGACGTTTGTTACGGTCAAAAAATACTGATTAACCTGATAAATATAAAAACATAATTAATCATATTTTTCAAATCAGAAATCGAGCAGGCGAAGATGATATTATTCGTACATATCAGTTTATTCTCGTGTAATTCAAGTTTGAATAAGAAATGAATTTAGATAATTAAGTTCAACTTTGTCGTTACAAATAGGCAGTAGGAGATTTGTTGATACAGAAGTTTTCTTTTTTTTGCAAGTATTATTTCCATTTCACTATTTTGAAATCAATTTAAAAAATCAATAAATCAAAAAGATTTCTAATTTTATAGATTAAATTTTAGAAAAATTTACAAAATCTTTTATTATAATTTATATAGCAATTAACGTATGCCTATTTGATTAAAGCAAAATTAATTGTTAGCAAAATTCAGCCAATCAGTAATTGAAAGTTACTCATGCTAATTAGTTTGCTTCTTTTTTTTGCAAAATCTATCAATAATTAAAACATACCAAATACTTGCCTCCTTCTTTTTTCAAAAATTAAAAAAAATACTCAGTTTCAAACTTTTACATTAAAAATTTTCCGAAATATCAAAATAAACTTTTGAAACAAATTTTTTCCTGCTATCAATTTTTTTTGCTATTATCGGAAACAAACAAAAAAGAAGAAAAAAATACATGGAAAAAGTCAGAGTAACATTTATTGCTGTTTCCGAAGCATCGGTTTTCGATTTTTATAAATTCATATTTTCATTATTTCATTCGATACTAATTCGTTGAATTTTATTGTTCAATGATCAATTTTACTTAAAAAAAGTTGTCATTTGATAATAAAAAGAAGTTTTCAAAAAAATCCAATAATTATTGGATAGTTCAGATTAAATTAAATTAATTCACTTAAATATATTATGTGAATAAGTTATGCAACTGTGTGTATTTGCTACAAATTTCCATAGTGATAATTTTCATTGAAAAAAGGAATTGATTGGACAAGATTTTTTGTATGTATATGAATTTCATAATTAATTGTTAGTTAAATAAGACTAAAATTAAATCAAATTAGATTAAACGAAATCAATAAAATAGGATAAAATTTTAAATCAGGCAAAGTTTTTTTTTT